CTTTTAATGCGAGTGGATGATAGCAGAATTCGAATGTGCCAATGCAATTGGCGTAGGAATCGAACGTTTCGCGATACATTTTTAATCTTTTATTTAGGTATATGACCAGAATTTTGTGTTCCAAGCTAATTTGGTTTTCTTGTTCATTTCAGTGGAAGAAATGGAACAGTACCTGCACTATATAGGAGGTGGTGCAGGTGCTTTGGCTCTAACTGGCGTCGCAGCGGCTTCAGCATTTTATTTGGCCAGCAGGCCCTCTTCACAGAAACCGTTATTCCCCCTTGATGCTCAGTGCTTAGTCGAAGAAGATGTAAGTATATTCTCCATAGTGTAGGTTGTTTATGATGCTTATCTTCGCTTGCAAACATACTTTACCTAATAATTGCGTAACGGATTTTTTGTTATCTACCTCGTTATGAAAAGAACTGAGTTAAGAGCACAAATAATAGTTATTTATGTATCAAGGGCATTAAGGCGATATTTATACCGAGGGCGACAGAGCCCGAGGGCCTCTGGCCCGAGGGATTGGAAGTCGCCCGAGGGTTAAATATCGAGTAATGCCTGAGGTGCATACAACATTTTATTTTTCATCGTTCCAAATAATGCATTTCCAATATACAAATGTAATGATTATTGTTAGTGCTTCATACGAATCAAGTAGCATCTTTTTTTTATGACATAACTCCATCAATATATTTGACAGGCAGTTTGAGGGCATAATGAGAGGGCATAATGGATTGTCATCTCATTATGCCCTCTCATTATGCCCTCGGGCGTCATAGACTGCTTTATATATCTCATATGACAGATATAATTGTCATATAATAGGCAAATGAAAAATAAAATATTTTTTAGCATAAGTCATACACTTATCCAACCCTCCTCCAAAAAAAATTTGTTGTGATTCTGAAAAATGCAACTCCACAACATTTTCTAACTCATTCGATAAAAACCGACGCTCTCTTGTGTTTTGGAAAGAGATAATAATGACAGGGGGACAGATCGGAACTGTAAGGTCGGTGTTCTAATTGCTTAAAACAGTTCGTTGATTACTTTGTAACGGTAGCTGGGTTTCTCGACATTTAATTTTAATTAATTTAATTCGTAGGGCGGGAATAAATCAAACAAATGAACGATTAAAGATGGCCGTGTGCGTGAATAAAGATGCCATTTTGTAGGCGTTCTTTAATTAATAAGGAATAGAGAGGATTCGTTTTGGGAAACAGTTTTAAAAGATTCGTGGTTAAGTACGAAGCGAGACCAGTGCGTGATCCATGGAGAAAGTTAAAATTAATCAATTCACCTTTGGTCATCAGTGCGACCATTCAATTTCGAATTTAAAATTTTGATTATTTCGCATTTGAAATACTGAAAATTTAACCGTTTGTATCGCTAAGTAAATTTGTTCAAATTCACAAAGCGTTTGTTGGGGCATAATAGAAAACCCCAAGATTAGAAAATTCGAGTGCGAAATTTAAATTGAAGTTCCGCGAGTTTTACCTACAGTAGAATCAAGTAATCTCTAGAAGGTGCGACGAACTTCGGTAATAAATCCTGCACGGCATGAAAAATTGAATAATCATTAGCGGAATAATTCTTAACGAGCTCCTAGCGAGTTCATGATTTTGGACTGTCTGTCCGTCCGTCCGTCTGTGGACAAGATAACTCCCGAACGGTTTCGAATTTTCCAATTCTGTTTTCAGTATTTTGTTTATCACCCAAGGAAGACATTAAATGTTCAGTGACCCAGAAATTCGTTTGCTACATTTGCTACAAGTTTATAATTCAAAAGAAAAATAAATTTTACAAATTATAATAACTAAATCTTGTGAGCGGACGAGAGTAGCGGCAATCGACGGCAACCTGGATGTGCTGTCGGCGGAACGGACGAACTCGAGCGATACCAAGGGGTACGGCCTTGCTTCGGGTAAACTCAGAGTAAACGGCAACTCCCCGAATCGGACGAGTTCAACACTTGGCGGCGGTCACTTCGGAAAACAGACCTTTTTTATTGCCGGCATCTTCAGAATCGGAGCATTAAGATCAATGGATGCCGCCCGCGGCATCCTGGTTAGTGTCGAGTTAGAATGGGATCAAAGAAAATCTTTTATAAACACGTTTTTATTGGTTCTATTGCGGCTATCGATTTCAACCTCGTAAGGTCATCTTCAGGCCGAGCGTCAATACTGTGAGATGAGGAGGCATGTACTATTATTAGCGGAGTAGTATGTGTTAGTTATCAGGAAAGATGTTTACTAAAAGTGAGGTTGTGTAT